CTTGCCCGCGGTGAAGTCTCAATTCGCAGGTACCTCTAGGTCGCGGTACTTGCCCGGTTTTGCACCATTTCTTGCTCTTTTCAACATTTTGGAACCCATTTAGCCTCTAAGTTTGATTAGCACTTCTCCATACCTGCCAACACACAAACACAAGTGCAATGCAACCTAAATAGACTCTAAATGCACCTAAATGATCAATGTAAACATAAAATGGATGGTTAAAAGTATGAAAATATGCAAGATATCAACTTGCAACTTGAATTACCTTGTATGAATATTAAAATTTTCGACTTGTACTTGATTTGTTAAAAACGAATACTTGCTATTTCGAATACGTAATCAAAAATGAATGTCTTGCAAACTACTTCTTTTACTCTATTACTTCTTCTTTACGAGTACTTGTGAGCTATTTACGAGTTTTTTCAAAATATTTAAGAACTACTTACTAAATAATTCTCTGCTAGAAATAGTCAAAATTTATTTTCTTTATTCTATTTTAAACAGCATGTAAATTACTTTACACGGAATATGTGTTCACATTATAAAGAAAACAAATAAAAAAATATACATATTACGATATATATATATATATATATATATATTTTGTTTACATATTATACATATTACGATATATAAACAGTGTATAATTTTACCGATAACAAAAATGTCTTCTCTCTAAATAAGTAACATGTAATAACAAATTATATAACGAGACTTTGAATACTTCTTTCTTTGTAATATTTGACTAGACGATAACAAGTATTTAAAAATCAAGATGGATCTTTTTCAAAAAGAAAAAAATTAAGATGGATACGAAACAAGTAACAAATATAAAAAAAGTAATGAATATTTGTTTTGAATTCTAAATGCAAGTAAACAAATAGTAAGTAATAGAGTAACTAATGGGGTGTAAAAAATAATAATAATATTTGATACTTGACTTAGTCTTGTAAGTAATGAAAGTTGTCGTCTTATTATTTGTCTTAACAACACCAAATACTTGAATTTTAATGTCGGTACGAGTCAAATAAAGTTTAATGCGAGTAATTAATGATGCCCAGCCCTAACCACATCCACTCGACTTTATACGATAGATCTTACTTGAGCCTTTGAGCTTCCCCTATAAAGTCCACGAAACTACGAGGAGAAGTTCCTCAAATCATTGGACGTACTTAAATGTCAATCAAATTGCTGCTTTTGTTTGTCTGTTATGTTCATATTTTACTTAGTAATTTCTGGTATGGAGAAAAAAGAATTGCACTTATCGTTAACGAGTAAATAAGGTCGTGCATATTATTATTTACTTTAACTCGACAAAGCTTGAAAGAGTATTTATATTTAAAACTTTTTTGCAACTTTTTTTTTATATTTAAAACTTGCAACAAATTGTTCAGTTTTTACTATAAATCCGAAAATAAAGAATGTGTCTCAATGAAATTTATTTTAAACGTATTTTTTTAAATACTCCATATACTCGTTGATTTTCTTGATTTATAAAACATGTATAATTTTCAGTATAAAAAAACCATTGAGTAAATTTCTCTAAGAAATTGTAATTTAATTTCTTACAATCTATATTAATATTTCAATGAGTGGATATATTTCCATATATTTTTTTATTTCTTCCTTTCTTTAACTAAAAATCCACAGTAAAAAGGAAAAATAGAAGAAAAAAAGTTACAAAAAGGAAAACTCGTGGGAAAAGAAAACAATATTTATTTATATTTTCCTCTTTTTTTAGGTATTAAATCCTCTGAACATTCCTCACAACACAACTCACTAAAAGGAACAATCTAGAATTGGATCTCTCTTCTCTTTAAATACTTTGGTCCTTTCGTGGGAAAAAGACAAAACCTTTGCCTCTACTTCATTCGAATCTTCTTCTTCTCCTCTCCCAATCAATATGGCTAAGGAACTTGCAGCTCAGGCTAAAGAGGCTTTCGTTGACGACGACTTCGATGTTGCTGTTGACTTGTACTCTAAAGCCATTGACTTGGATCCCAATTGCGCTGACTTCTTCGCTGATCGTGCTCAGGCTTACATCAAACTCCAAAACTTCACCGGTAACTTCTTAGTTCCGTAATAAAAAAAAAACGATGATTTAGTTGTTAGAGGAGAACATAAAGGAGAGAACTCTGTCTTTTTGGGGTTATGGGTTTTCTTGTCTGTAATAAAAATCGATACTTTTGTTGTTAGAGAACATAAAGGAGAGAGCTTTGTCTTTTGAGGGTTAATGGTTTTTCATGTCTTTAGGTTTCTTAGTTTGTTTTGTTTTTAATCTTATGTACAGTTGGAAGGAAGTTGGTTTTGTCTGGTTCTGTGTGAATTTAGGGTTTGGTTTTGTGTTTGATTTGGTAGTGTCATAAGTTCTTGTCATAGTTAAAGAGATTTTGTATGAGTTTTATGCATATATGTCGCTCTTTCATTGGTTCTGACTCTGACTTGTGTTCTTGATGTGCAGAAGCTGTGGCAGATGCCAAGAAAGCTATTGAGTTGGATCCTTCATTGACCAAAGCTTACTTGAGAAAAGGGTATGTCTTTGCTATTTCATCTTGTGTATTGTTGTTGTCTTGTGATATATGTTTCTAGTCGATATCTGAATCTCTTTTTGTGGCTGTAGAACTGCCTGTATGAAGCTTGGAGAATATCAAACTGCGAAAACAGCTCTTGAAAAGGGTGCTTCGATCGCACCAAGCGAATCTAAATTCAACAAGTTGATAGATGAATGCAATCTTCGAATCACAGGTATGTATATTTTGTTGCTTGTTGCTGTCTGATTGGTTATGTTTACGAGGAATGATTGATTATATTTATGCAATAATCAGAAGAAGAGAAAGATGTGGTTGAACCGCCAGTAAAAGTTGCTGTGACCCCTGTGCCTGCAGAACCGGCCAAACCAAAGTTCAGGTAGTTTCATTGTTTAAAACTATAATGCTATTTTTTTCAAAATTTTCAAGTTTTAAGAATCGTTAAAATAAGCTCATACGCTTGAGTTCTTAACAGACATGAATACTACCAAAAGCCAGAAGAAGTTGTGGTTACTGTTTTTGCAAAAGGGATACCGAAGCAGAATGTTAATATCGACTTTGGTGAACAAATTGTAAGCATACTGCATTCTAAGAACACACCTCCATGATCTGTGTAAAATCTGTGTTGATTGTTCTGTGGTTTTGCAGCTGAGTGTTGTGATTGATGTTCCTGGAGAGGAAGCATATCATCTCCAACCGAGATTGTTCGGAAAGGTAATTGGTTCATAGGATGAATCAATGTTCTTAGTTGAAGAACATTGTATTGATCTTTTGTTTCTTTGTATTCAGATAGTACCAGAGAAGTGCAGATATGAAGTAATGTCAACCAAGATTGAGATCCGTCTAGCAAAAGCAGAGATCATCACATGGGCCTCTCTTGAACACGGCAAAGGGCCTGTGGTTTTGCCAAAGCCTAATGTCTCAACAGGTTTATTATACATTCTTCCTTCTTTAGTTTGAGGTTTTGAATCAGTCTATTGACATTTGGAACTTTGGTGCAGAGGTTTCAGTGAGGCCGGCGTATCCTTCTTCTAAGAAAGTCAAGGACTGGGACAAGCTTGAAGCTGAAGTGAAGAAACAGGAGAAGGATGAGAAGCTGGAAGGAGACGCTGCTTTGAACAAGTTCTTCCGTGAGATATATTCAAATGCTGATGAGGATATGAGGCGTGCTATGAGCAAATCATTTGTGAGTATCTATCTATATCCTTCTTTGGTCTTTACTCTGATTTAGACTACAAATGTTTTTGTACATTTTGATTGACTCTTTTGATGAACAGGTGGAATCTAATGGGACAGTGCTCTCAACAGACTGGAAAGAGGTTGGAGCTAAGAAAATCGAGAGCACTCCTCCGGATGGTATGGAGCTCAAGAAATGGGAGATTTGATCTGATATTAGTATATGATTCTTCCTTTGAATGCATTTGTGGGTTTACCTTTAATCTAGACAAAACTCGAAGCCTTGGTCTTAATGGTTTTCCTTTCTCTACTTTTTATGGACTTTGGTTCTTTGCATTTGCCTTGAAACTCATATTGTTTATACACAAACAACTGAAGTTTTAAATCTAAACGTTCATATAGACCAGATATTGAAGAATTCAACTTTGCAACTTTCTGATATTCTTAAGACGTCTTAAGTGAGAACTATGACTATTTGTTTGGAGCCAGACCATGACAAAAGTTTTTTTGTCCGATTATATTAGTAGTGGATACGTGATCACATCTAAAATTGTAAAAGCCTGGCCCATTAAAGACGATCTTGCACTTGCAAGTTGCAATTGTCACTTTTAGTAGCGCAAGAGAAGCGTAGGCAACAAGAAAAGAGTTACCGTGAGCCAGTGACAGAAAGTTTTTTTGTTTGTTTGTAAAAACGGCATATTCAAAAGTTTAGAATGTTTCGAAACAAAATGTTAAATTTTGCATTAGGTTTAAATCATTACATACCCTTTTTAAAATCACATATGCCATTTTTATAAGTCTTGTAAGAAGAGCATTACATATGTGATGTGATATGCTATCAAATACCATAAATAAAAATGTAAATTACCTCTATTTCTAGTTATTTTTCCTCAATGACAAACTAAAATGTAAAACTTACAAGTTTCAACGATCTATTTACAAAAATGTAAACTTTTGTGTTGAGGTCAAAATACGTATATATACGTGTAGTTTTGAAACAAGGGATAAGTTTTAGTTTCGCAGCCGAGAAGAAGAAGAAGACGCGGAAAAGAAACATGATGGATCCTACTCTACTCATAATGATCGTAATCGTCTCTGGGTTGGCCATATGCATATCACTTTATGTATGGTATTCCTGTTGCTCCGACCAAACACCACCTCTGCCTCTTTAACCAAAACAACAACCATGTATTGGACTCTATATTATAATCTGTAGCTATTCTTCTAGTCTATCCTTGATTTTATTTTGGTTCTCTCTTTAAGAGTTATTTATGAATTATTAGATTAGTAACCTATAAGCCTATGCAGGTTGTGTATGCGATATTTATCAGAAAATTTTCATTTTATTTTGGTTTAATAATGTAACTTTATATATTTAATTTAGGGCTCGGCAAAAAATTCTTACTCGAAAAATCGAACCGAATCCGATTTAAAAAATAATACTGAATCTAAATTGGTTAAATATCCAAACGGATTCAAAATTTTGGTATCTAGAGAACCGAACCCGATTCAAACCAAAATACTTCGGGTATCCGAATATATCTGAATTTGATTTATATACTTGAATATAATATCTATTTTTAGATGTAATATCGAAAAAATATCAAAAATGTATAAAATATTATTGAGATTGTCCAAATATATTTGAAAATATATACAAATAGTCAAAAGTAAATATTTAAAATAGCTAAAAAAATACTAAAAACAATACTTAAAAAACTATTGATTATCCATCCAAATATTCAAGTTAACCCAAATTTATATTAAGTTAAGTTATTTTGGCGTACATTACGCAAACTTATATGTTATATATCATTTTAGATTTAGATTTTTGAAATTTAAAGTATATATAAATTTTAGAATTTTAAAATAATGGAAACGGACCGAACCCAAAATTTATATATACCCAAATGGAGTTGAAATTTCTAACTTCAAAAATCTGAAATCTGAATAGATCCGAACCGAACCCGAATGGATAACGGAATGTCCACCCCTAATTTAATTTCTATTTGAATGATTTTGGCATTCTTCCATACTTTGCAATGTTGTATTTTTTTTCCTTGATGAAATTCTTTAGATGAAAACCCAGGCTATTACACAATTTCGAACCTTAAGCTGGCGGGCATCGAAATCACAAAATAATTTTTTGAATGGTGATACATCATAACCTAACCAAGTTGCTTTGGTCTAGTGGTAAAGGAGCTCCAGCTAGAGTGTCTGCCTCTGGGTTCAAACCTTGACCACTGCAGAATTTACATATGGACTGTAGCATCTGAGATCGAATACCGTTACACAGTGAGCCACCTGATGATCTTTGGATCCATGCTCACCTCAGTTTATAGTCTGGACCATTACGATAGGGTCAGGATATCCGGTTAGCAAAAAAAAAATGTTGATATATTATTTGTAAGGAAAAATTCTGTATTATCAACAAAAGAATTTAGTATGGGGAATACATTATTCTAAAACGTCCTTCATCTTCTGTTTATATTTAATGATGACGCACTGCTCTGCTACTGACGCAGAAAATCATAACCAAAGAGACCGTTGCCGATGATACAAACTAGGATAAAAGAACTTTGTAATGTAGCGAGCCGTATATGCTCTTCATGTTGTACTCGTCGAGACTATACAGGGAACCAAGAGCCTTTGAACTTGTTAAGAAAAAGACACATTAAGCCACAAGTGATTAGGATAGCTCCTAATTAATGTAACTTGCACATTAATGTAACTTGGCGTAAAAATTATGAAGTAGATTTATGTAATGTAATCGAAAAAATCCCTAAAAACAAGGAGCTTCTCACTACTCAATGCAATTAACATGCTTTAGATCATCTCCAAAGGCATATCTAACCCACTTCTAAGTGAGGTTCCATCTAAATAATTGGATTTTATTTATATCAAAAACATGAAAAATAGATAGAGTTGCATCTAATTGTAGATGTTTCTGGATGCATATCCAAATAAAACGTGGACATCTCTCATTGGTTACTGTGTTTAAACAAAACAAGAAAAAAAGGTCTGTGTCTCTCTTTCCGTCAAAAAAATTATGTTCGCTCTCTTGCCATGAATCAATTGTGACGGTGAATCGATCCTTGAAACAGCCGGATACAATATCGAATCTGTTAGTGTTTTTATCTCAGATTCAATTCAATCAATGATCAACCTAATGCAAGTTCTTGTTTGTTTGATTTGCAGGAAAACGTAAATGCGCAAAACTCAAGATTTTGTTGACCCAGACTTCGTTGCCTACTGTCTGGAGAGAGATTAAAACACTCAAGCAATCACTAGCTTATAGGAATCAACACAGAGTCTTGGTATCTTGCTACACAAGTTACAAACGGATCTCACCGAGAAAGATGTGTAAAGATACCTCTGAGATAGACCACAGGTAATCAGATTCCCCTATGGCGATCTCAGGGTTAGCACTTCTTCGTCACCGCCGCAAGAATCACCTGAGATAAGACTCTTCTCCTTTGTCTCCTTCGCTTTGCTCGTGATCTCTCTCTCTAACCTTTGTAACAACCTTTTGTTACAGAGAACACCTTTAAACATAAAGATGAAGACGGATAAATGAAGCTACGTCTTTTTCACTCATGGGCCTGATCTTCTCATTCCAAGTGACACGAAGCCCAGCCCATCAAGTCGAATATTGACTCAGCCCAAACACAGCCCATAAGACGGAAAAACCCGACAAACACTCACAATCTCCACCTTGTTGGTTTGTTCTGTCTGACCTAATCCTCTCTGTCGAACTGATCAAAAAATTACCTTCGCCGTTTCACCTTCTGAACTCAGAACACGACTCTGCCAGAACCTCCACCAGAACGCTTCACCACTGATGAATCGACACCGACGGCTCCATCACCCTGACTTTCACCAGTCAGATTTCATATCTTCACTGCCACGCAAGATAAGTGTAGATCTCAACTCTTCACTATCCTTTTATTTCCTTTAGATCCGCAAACTAACCTCCTATTCCTCTGAAGCTTCCGCAGATGAGAAAACCCTCACCACTGAGAACCCAAACCATCGAGTCCCTCACTCACCTCAGATAAGTATTCACGAACCCTCTTTCTTGTCTTACCGCTGCGACTTACCACACAACAACAAACATCGATTACTAATTTTTTTTTCTTCTTCCCGAGATAACTCAATCGACAAAGCTATCTCAATCACTACCGCTCCTTATCAGGCAAGGAGCTTGGCCATCTCAAGGCCTCTCTGGAACGCAGGACCAGGTAAACACTTCGTCAGAAAATAAGCTGCATTTAGAGTAGTATGTACCTTGATTAGCTTAACAGAACCATCATGAACCTTATCTCTGATAAAATGATACTTAGTGTCCATATGTTTTGTTCTGCCATGATGAACTGCATTATTTGCCAAACATATAGCACTCTGTGAATCGCAGAATAACTTGTAGCTGGTAGACTTAAAACCCAACTCAGTACATAACATTGTTAACCATTTACCCTCCTTTGCTGCCTCAGTGAGAGCCATATACTCAGCTTCCGTGGTTGATAAAGCTACTACGGACTGAAGTGTGGCTCGCCAACTGACAGTATTTCCCCCAACCTTGAAAATATATGCTGAAACTGACCGTCTCCTGTCTAAATCTGAACTGTAATCTGAATCACTGTAACCAACTATATCAAACTCCTCCTGCTTAGTGAATGTTAAACAAATGTATAACGCTCCTGTTAAGTACTTGAAAACCCATCTGACTGCATCCCAATGAACCCTTCCTGGTTGTGACATGTATCTGCTGATCAGACAAATTGCATATCCCAAATCAGGCCGTGATCCTATCATGGCATACATTAAGCTACCAACAGCACTAGCATAAGGAATTTTGTCCATGTAGTTAGCTTCTTCCTTTAACTCAACATTTGTTAATCTTCTAAGTTTATGTTGAGCACTGACAGGGGTAACCACTGGCTTTGCCCCTTCCATGTTAAAGTTTCTCAGGACTTGTCTCAGATATTTTTCTTGAGACAATTTCAAGACTCCTCTCTCCCTGTCCCGTAGAATGTCCATTCCTAGGATACGAGTTGCTTTTCCCAAATCCTTCATTTTCAAATTCAGACTTTAGACTCTCCTTTAGTTGCTTGATTCTGTCCAGATTCTTTGACGCCACTAGCATGTCATCAACGTACAGCATTAAGAAGACCTTGTCAAGTATATCCTTTCCCTTAAAGTAAACACACGGATCGTGGATACTTTGACTAAAACCTTGTCCCTTCATGAACTCGTCAAACCTCTGATTCCACTGGCGCGGTGACTGCTTCAAACCATATAGAGATTTTTTAAGCAAACAGACCTTTCCTTCATTTCCTTTTCCAATGAATCCCTCAGGCTGATTCATGTAGATTTCTTCTTCTAGAGTTCCATGTAAAAAGGCTGT